GTATATCTTCATAAAATTTGGCAGGCTTTCAGTTCATATTATAAGTCTTTTACATACAAAAAATCATATTTTTTTTAGTGAAGTATTTTTAATAAAATAAAATAAAGATTTGTCCATTAATATATTGAGTAGCTGTTTTGAATAGCCCACGTGCAAAGTAATTTTCATGTTAAAATTAAAAATACCTTTCCTCATCTCAAAAATCTCAAATTCCTTTGTGTAAACCTAAAACCTCCTAAATGCATTCCAACCCTTTTTTTTCAGTAAATCATTATAGTTTATCTGTTATTTTCTCTACCCTATCTCAAAATTAAATTGGTCAATTCGACCGACCTCGTAACCACCAAAAAAAATCAAAATAAACCTAAATTATAATTTTTTTTATTCTAGAATGACTTCAACTTTCATTTATCCTAAGTAGCTCTAAGTTCATAACAGTATACTTCTATCTATAACTAAATTTTATTCTTTTATTTCATTATGAATCATATCTAACTTCTATCCATGCCATTATAAGTTGTAAATCACCCGGGTAATGTGCAGCTCACATTATACTAATGAATTACATTACCCACAAGCTACTATGAGTTGCTCGCGCGTGTGTGCCTCATGAAACATTTTTATTCTAATATTAATATTTATTTTACCTAATCTAGTTTTACCTAAAAGAATCCCTATTTTTACATTTTAGTTACTTTTATAATTATACATAAAGAAAAAACAAGAAATAAAATACTTAACCAATCTTCTTTTTTCTTGCTGTTGATTGTCAAAGACAGTTAATCCTAAATTTTTTCATACTAATGACAGTAATGCACTTAATAATTTTTATTTACTTAAATAATGCACCAAACAATATAGACTAATAATATGCAAGAAGTAGACAAATTCATTTATGTCTCAAAATTTTTCTGGCTTTCTAACTATGCGACAAGTCATTACAAATTCATCCAAGCTAGTCATTAACTTTCTCAATGGAACAATGTTGGTACTCTGAATGAAACTGACATTTAACTGTTCAGAACATAAAATTATACAATACATCACTTGATAGATGAAAACCTCGACTTTCTATTGGTTATAGGTAATTTATAATTAAACATAAGAGAGAACTATTAACAAATCCTGTGAGTGAGGATGTGGCAGGAGGGGTCCGATTTTCTATTCGATAGCTCTGTAACCAAGCAAAATTGAAGATTATAAAAATTATGGTTTGTTGGAGCAATGACCATTTTATAATGTAATTTAAGTTTAATTTCGTACTTTTTTTGAGGGGTGATGGATAAAATTGGAAAGATGACATGCTAAGAGAAAATGTTACGTGGGTCACACTAGGGGAAAATTCAGATTTTAGATTTGCCTTGTAGAATTATGAACTTAAAACTTATATACTAGTAAAATATGGATTATTAGCTATGATTTTATGCTCTTCTAATTGGTATAACATAAACAAAAAGTAGTTTAATAAAGTTTTGAATGTAAGACACTAAAACCTTGTATCATGCGCAGTAAAGTTATTTACATGATAAATCCCTTGAATATTAGGGAAATATTCAACTTAACAGATTATTACTTACCCATGCTGTCTGTTCCATTTTGTTCTTGATTATCTCCTTCTTCACTCATGTAGCCAGGGGGAGGAGTCTCTGAAAATACATTCACTTCTATAAGGGGAGTAATATGAAGTTATGCAACAAAATTTGCATATTTTAGCATAGAAAAAAGGTATGCATACATATCACAGGATAAAATACTAATATATTTGTTTTTGGTTATTTTAACACCTAAATATTTCTTCATACCTTAGCCTCTAGTTTTAAATGACTGAGTTAAAAAGTAATATGCTATTAAGAACTGTATTATTCCACACTAAAATTAATGTATATTTACAGTTCTTGGTTTTAGAAAAACATATTTATCTTCAGATAAAAACACATCACTTATAGACAGTACTTCAATCTGTGATTAATAAACTTTCCCCATTTTCAAATGACATGCATATATTTCAATTCAAATGAGAAACTGAAAATTACTGATTTTATAGTTCCAAACAAAATTAATTCAAATAAAAAAAAAGAAACAATAGATTTATTAGGTGGAAAACTTAGTCTAATTATGAACAAGAGCACCACATCATGGAAGCACAAAACAGCATATTTATCTGAAAATTTTTGAAATTTACATATTCCATGATATGCAAGCTAGAAAATTACATGACACACACACACACACACACACACACACATATATATATATATATATATATATATATATATAAAGTCTACTAAGTAGTAGTGAGTAAAAAAACATAAGGTGAAAAAAAATCTGATGTTTGAGAAAAATATTAAAAGTTAAACATTAAAATAAGAAAGTTGAAAGAGGGTTAGATTACTGTTTAAATTGAGGTATCCATTAAATGCATAAGCTTTCTTTAACCCTATAAGACCTGGCAGCATTTTTAAATTCCTTTCTGCACATATTAGTGTGTTATATTCAACATTTAATTAAACCACTTTACTGTCAATGTATTTTAACATATATTATAATTCAAAGTTTTATACTAGCTAAGTTATTATTCCTATATTTCAAATGAAAACAATAATTTAAAACCGTGCTTTTTCTCTCACATAAAGTGCTTGCAATTACAAACATCAACTTTAAGAGCTGGTAAAGAAGAGATGTTCAAAGTACGCTGTATACAGGTTGTTTACAAGTAATTTCATAACATTCTAAGAACTTGTTCTGGTCAGAACAGTTGTAAAAGTTTCCTCACTTCGAGATAAGCCCACTTGCAAGGTAGAAGCTATGTTGAATACCATGTTTATAGTCAATAAAAAGAGCCAATTTCATGGTGTATTTCCTAACAAGGTAACGAAAGTTAATTAATGTTTGCATTTTAAGGAGAAAGTTGAAAAAAGATTAGTCCATTGTTGAGAGTGGCTTCACTAGCACTTGGTCATTTTTTTCTTGACTTATACATATTAGTTTGGTAGATGGTGAAATTGCATTTTAGGTTTACTTTTATATTTTTAGTTAATTATGTATTATTTGTGTTTTAAAATTCATAGTTGAAAGGTTTAATGATTACTTAAGTTTTTCTACTCATCATTTCTATGGTCATGCATTACAAAAAGAGGTGGGAGCAAACATTATGCTGTAGGCTAAATCAGACTCTCTCCCCTGATCATAACATTCCCCATGGGGCCCCACTGAAGTTTGTATACATAAATAATAATAAAAATATAGATTTGGAAAGGAAAATAAAATTTTAAAGATAAAAAATTTGTGAAACAGTAAAGACTTGAAATTATGCACAAAAAATATATTTAAGATTACTCAACAAGGCAATAAAAGGTAAGTACCTGTTCCAATTTCTTAATTTTAAGCGTATCATTGCAATGTCCCTTGTGACAATAGCTAGAGTTAGTGATACGAGAGGAAAATGGAAAATAAAAATTTATCTGACAAAATCTTGTGATATTCATTTAGCAGATTCTAAAGATTATGTAAGTGAAATGTGAAAACTGTAAGATAACAACTGGTATTTTGATACTCAACATGAAAATCACCTTACAGGTGAACTTTTCAGAGTCCAAGTGCAAATAACTACATTAAATAATGAATTCTTATTAGAAATAGTAGAAAAAATCAAAATAAAATGTTTTATTTTTTTTTAACTATATACTTTTAGGAAAGTATCATCCCCTAGATTTACTTTTGGAACGAAATATGATGAGAAGGATATTAACTACTAAGGACCTTAGTTACTGGTAGTCCCAGGGTTAATCAGATTTTCAGATTTTGACAACCATAATTTTAAAATTACTTACAGAGGTAAGGTGATTATTAATTTCACAATGTAATGAATGACAAAAGCACGAGGGTTTAAAAGTTGGCAGATGGTTCTGCTTGAGACTCCCATGTGTTCATAAGCTTGTATTTTTAATTGGTGTTTAGTTTTGTCAATATAGTCAGCTTTACAGTCATCACAAGTAAATTTGTAAACAGATGAACACATAGGGGTAGGCAGAATGTCTAGTTTTAAACAGGTTTCCAATTCAAAAGGATTATCTGAACATTACCTGCAGTTTAATATGTGCTTTAAAGTTCTTTAATAGTTTGTGTATGTGTGTTTTGACAATAAAACTAGTGTCCTAAGAAATGGATCACATGAAGTAACAAATTTTGCAACATTGTGTGGTACCTTGTTAGGTGCTATTTTCCTTGTCAAGAACTTGCATAAATTTTTCTAAGGGTTGCATAAGGTAAACATTATTTTTAAGGGTGTTTTGTAGAGGTTTAATTTCTAAGTGAATTTAGGAATAGTTTGAACACACATTATATGTTCTATTACAAAGGTTTAGTGTGATATTACATTTGATAGTTAGGTAAAAAGCTGTCAAACTGGGTGTAAGGGCCTGTAAAATTTTTCTTCCAATAGATAGATGCAGTAAACCACCTTTTTAAATAGTTAAAAACAAGAAAGCAGAGTTTGTTATTGTTCTCAATTATATATGTAAAGTTTATACTTAGATTCTGGGTGTTTAAGTAATTAACCCTATGGCAACCAGTGCCACGTTTTATAGAACCTAATGCCCCTCTCAGCATATTTCGTTCCAAAAGTAAAACCAGTGTATGAAATTATTTAAATATTGAGAATAACCTTCATAAAAGTATGTAGTTTGAGAAAAATAAAACATTAAATTTTGATTTTTTTACAATTTCTAATAAAACATTTTTTATTTGATATAGTTATTTGCACTCATACTTTGAACAGTTCACCTGCAAGGTGAATTTTTATATGAAGTATAAAAATACTATTTTTTATCTCACAGTTTCACATTTCATTTGCATAATCTCTAGAACCTCTCAAAAGTTTTTTAGGTAAATATTTGTATATACTTTCCATTTTCTCTACTATATCAATAACAAAACCTATTATCATCAACGTACAGTGCAATTAAAAAATTAACAAATGGAAATATGTACATATCTTTCAACTCTTCCTAGAAATCCACCAAAAGGGGCTGAAACGTTTGGAAAACTTCGCTTTTGTAATTGGCTAATAATGCTGTTTTAGTCACTAAACTTTCTATCATGGACTAGCTGCAGGTAAATTTTGTATGGAGTACAATAGTTGACTCTCAATGTTATACAAGGAAAGTAGTTTGAAGAAACATAGCCATTTTAATAAACTATCTCACTAAGCCTAAGATTTTGTAATGCCCACTCCCCCTACATGTCCACTCATCTTCAATGAGACATTAAGGTCACTCATTTGTATATCAGGGATTGCTAACGTTGAATATTGAGGTTTCTCATCTGGCTGGCTGGCATACAGTGTGATATGTCTGTAGTACAGTTTATACAGCTCAGTTAGTTACATTACCACACATTTTGTTTTTGTAAAGTTACAGCTTATACAATAAGTAAGATTTATTTTTAAAACAGGCATGACATTTCGATCACTGGAGCGAACATTCTTAAGTACACAAGTTTTAACAGTACAAAATGTTTAGTATTTAA